AATTTAGCTCACGTACTTTCCAGGCGCGGCGGAACGTCTTTGAGCCCGTGGGGGGGGGTCCGTCTTTTAGGGTTTCACCCCACCCCACCCCCCTTTTTAAATGAACTACAATGACTATTTTTGTCCAGTTTGTCCTCTTTTGTTCAAACTTGAGGACTGTTTGACGTGCCATGATAGGAAGCGTCCTTTATTCAAAACCGGGAGCGAAGCGAGCGAAAAAAAAAATCGATTTCTCAAGTTTAAAAGTGCGGTTTTAAGAGGGATTGCGCTATGCTAGACGACCCTTGAGGCACCGTCTCCAAATCTCTTATAGTATCGTCAGCCAGGGTTGAGCCGTCTTTTAGGCTTTCACCGAACCCACCTCCCTTTTTCAAATGAAGTACAATGACTATTTTTGTCCGTTTTGTCTATTTTTATTCAAACTTGAGGACTGTTTGACATGCCATGATAGGAAGCATCCCCCATTCAAAACCGCGAGCGAAGCGAGCGAAAAAATATTCTACTTCGCAAGTTGAAAAGTGCTGTTTTAAGAGCAATTGCGCTATGCTCTGGACTTATTATTGACCGTAGAAGACCGCGAGCGAAGCGAGCGAGAAATTTTTTTGGGCTCTACCAGGGAGGGGCATTGCCTCTTCTGTCCGCACCCGCTCCGTCGCGCCTGGTAATTTCTATTTCTATGTATATAAAATTAACCATATGTATGTACGTTTGTGACATTGAAACGAATTATCAACTTCAAGGCCTTCTTTTATTCAGTGCATGGGATTGGTTTAAAACAAGAGCCCTGCGCCAGTATAGTGCTATTTGCTACTCATTGATATCTAATGTAGTAGACCTGACGTTATGGAAATGAAGGATAAAGTTTTGCATTGCATTCGTTCGGCAGCCGGGCGGTTGCGGTTGCCTGCTGCCTGTGCTTGACCAGCCCGCGCCCTTACCTCCTCAGCCCGGCGTGGCCTAGGTGGATTCTGGTTCAAACGTTTAGGCTCTATCTACTCAGCTTCTCTCGTCTTCCCTCCCCCTCTTTTCTTTTCCCTTTCTCTTCTCCTCTCTCTTTCCCTTCCCTTTCCCCTTTCTCTCCTCTCTTTCCCTCCCTCTCTCTTTTCCTCCTTTCTCCTCCCTCCTCCCTTCTCTTACCTACCTCCTCAGACCCCTAAACCTACCTCCCTTTTCGAAAAGCCGGGTGGGCATGGGCACAGGCCCACCCGGCTCCATACGATGGCCGCCACTGGCGTGCGCGCTGCGGAATGAGTTCGTTATTCTCAGCTCTCGCCTGCGTTGGCTGTCTTACAGCAAATGCGTGATGTGCTGCTGGCGGATACAGCAGAAAACATCCGGCGACAGTCACTCTTTGAGTGCATCGCGCACTGGCTGAGCGAGGAGCGTAAGTTATTTTACTTTACTAACAGGAAATGCGCTCGATGTCGCTTAAAGCTGACCCCACAATGAACGTTCCCCGAGGTAACGCGTGGTACTGTGGCCCACTCACTCACCCTTTGCCCAACAACTTCAGGGGCTTGCGTAGGTGGGCCGTAGGCCACCGATTCCACTCGGCTGCCTGGCGGGTCGGCCTACCCAGATCTGCGCAGGCGCTGGCTTCGGCTGGGGAAGCGTTCATTGTGGGGGACCCCGGGAGAAACGGATTCGCTGAGAAATTCGCTGACGAGGCGTAATCCGAATGGTGTTTCGCATCTGTGGGCATTTGCGATAGAGTTACGAGGGTTTGTTCTGGCGCGCCCGGGGTCGTCCCAGGTACAGTCGCCTCACTATAAGAAGTAACTTGAACATTGCGCGTTAAGAAAATAGTCCCTACCATCGTGATGAGGTAACTTCTAGTCTAACTATCGCACGGCTGAAAACTAAATACTAAATAATGGACCAAACTTTATCGTTTAGCACTGGATGATTCCTGTTACAAGACAGTTACGTTTAGACACTTTAATAAGAATTTTTGCGTACAGCTATCGCTCCGCCAGGTTACTCCTTATAGTGAGGCGACTGTACTAGCGTAATCTCGCGCGGAGGACGCTGAAAGTCCCGTCTTCGCTGAGAGCGGGTGCAGCAGCACGCCGGCGGGGAGCAGGTCCGGCAGGGGGAGGGGGTGGGGAGGGGTCGCGCCTATTGTGAGCCGCGGGGTACCTGGGGCTCCGGCACGGGCTCGGGGCGCACGAGTAACTTTGTACGCGTCTCAGCGAATATCCTCAGCGAATCGGAGAAGCAAAATTCTTCTAAGTGCAGACCGGCCGACTTGTACTCCAGCGAGCCCAGAGGAAATTATTCTAAGTCCCGTCTCGAATCTCACTATCAAATGCGTGTGGCCACATCAATCAAAAAAATTTGGCCCATCTTAGTAAAAACGCAAACATTTTATCTTTTTTCGAATGGCAAATTTTGGTATTTAAAATATTTCACAAGATGAAAATTTTTCATTTTGGAGGAGACTACCAAATGTTAAGATTTTGACAACTCATCTAATGGCTCGAAAAGTGTGTTTTCAGACCCCCGCGGCGATTAATTTGATTTCCCATGGTTTGAATTTTCGCGCCATAAGCTTATGTTACAGCCAACACAAAGATCTAAATGTCCTAATAAATGTTGTGTTTTACGGACCTAGGTTTATTTATATTGTTCTAATACTACGTGAACTTGTGTAATTTTACATTCAATATCTTAGATATGATTTTTTAAAACAAGGAAAAGCAAATTAGTTGTCCTATCATGTTTCTCCGTTGGCGGTTTTGGCTGGCGTACCGTAACCTACAAATTCAGGATACTGTTTTTTGTGGTATAATGTGAACATAAACCTTAGTCAACAAACATAACCATAACCCCTGAGAGAGACTGCTCAGACAGGAACTTACGAACTATCAGAAAATTATAGGACTTCGAGAGGACTTGTGGTATCCCTGATGGACTTGGGGATATTGCAAGGATTATGGAGGAAAGAATTCCGTAGAATTCCGTAGGGATAGTCCTTAAACAATCCTTAGGTATAATCCAGAATGTGCCAAATTGAATATCTCAGGGATGTCCCAGGGGACATTTGGGGGATTTGTCCCTGTAGTGATGCCACGCCGTATTTGATATTTATCCTGTGTAGTTTCAAATTATTTGGAGATCCATAGCAACATATATTACATGGGTCGACAGTCAAAAATCGTGATGAGTGAGACGCTACCCCTCACCGGAGGAAGAGCATATCCGGAGTCGGGGCACACTCTGTCATTAGGGAGGTCCATCCACCCTAGTGAGTGAACGTTGTCTATGACCAGCGAGAGCGGTTTAAGATTTAACGCAGAGGAAAAACTATTGATCCGATTCCAAAATGTAAACTGCAGGTGATAGCCATAATGTCCTCTCTGCCTACGACGAGGGAAATAAGATAAAACATCTTGAAGGGCTTTCAAATAACTGATGTTATACATGAAAGAGAACTTATAACAAAAAGTAACGCCATCTAGCGGTGGTTGGCAGAAGTTCACATTCCTGCAGATCCCTGGGGATTCCTCTCTTAGAATCCTTGGGGATTCCTCTCTTAGAATCCTTGGGGATTCCTCCCTCAGAATTCTTGGGGATTCCTCCCTCAGAATCCTTGGGGAGGTTTTTTAGGGATGTCTACAGTTAATTCCCGAAAATACCTGGAGATGTTGGGTGAGGATTTAATAGGGCTCACTCAGGTATTTTCAGGGATCCGCGAGTGAGAATAATCTCCGGGTATTTTGAGGGAGAAATTCCCAAGGATCCTCCAGGGATGTGGTTTGCGGTGGACTCTGAATACAGGCAAGGCAGTGAAAACCCAGGGACAGTCGAAGGACACCCCAGGGACTAGGGATATCATAAATATCACAGAATTTCGTCAGGATTATCACAAGGATTGTCTAAGGACAGCAGAGGGACTACAAAATCCGGAGGGACTTGCGGGGATCGGCGAAGGACAATCCCTCAGTGTCCCCCAGTCCATCAGGGATCAAGCGAGTCAATGGTTAAGTTTCACTCTGTGAGATCGGAATCCTTTTACTTCAACGAGACGGAAAGATGCTTTAAAGTTGAAAAAAATAGTAGTGGTACCGTAGAGGGCCTGCATCGTCTGCTGTTGCCCCTACCGCACCTTTCCCCTCCACCAGCCCCCACCCTAGCCCCACCGAGCTCTTCGTCCCGAGCCTGGCTGAAAGCGGCGAGTTCCGAAAGACTGTTTTTACAAGATCTTTCCATAAAATTTCATTGATTGAATTGGCTTTTGGCCTACGTATCACAGAACCTGTATCTTTGACCTACAAGAAAATCTAGGTCTCTTTAAAAGTTATTCAGTCAGTTTTTATCCAACCGTGAGATTACTTCGGCCTGTAACACGACCGCCGGAGGGAGAGGGGGGTCCGGGGGGTCCCTACCCTCACTCATTGTCTCCTGCCGGCTGCTGCCCCGCCCGCCCCGCCCCTGCATGCGAAAGACCCTCATTAAAAATGTCCTTCCCATCGATCGTGACCGTAACGCAGGGTTTGCGGCGCAGATTAATTCTCGACTTTGACTTTTGTCGAACAAATTATACTCGACGGCGACGTCAATTACTTACTTTTAAGCATCAAGTCCCGTAAATCGACGATATTTTTCGATCTATTCAGCGCTTCCGGGATAAGCTGCCAATACACAGATAAGAACGGTTCTTGGTGATGTTGACTGTTTGCGTCAGATTGCAAAAATCAAGTCTTAAAAATACTAGAAACGGCTGTATCAAACAGATAAAATTATTTGTAATCGTTTCTAGAACTTGAAAATATACAATACTTTTTCTAACTATGTTCTATTGTTGGTACCCTTTGATAACATCGAAGCGCGTGTATCGCAGCATCACAGAGTTCTTTTGAAATCGTCAGGAAAACCGTTGATCCGAGCCGAGCTCGGTTCCGCTCACCCGACACACGCAATTCCACCACATTGTTCTTGGTTTGCACACTGAATATTAAATTGAAGGAAAAATGACTGCTCACGTTGGGGTTCGAAGAATGGCGCTGGCTGAAATATGTGCTGGACTGGATGATTCACTTATAGTCGGTGTTATCATAGGTTGTCAAAGTGCGAAAATCGTGACCATTAAAAAAAGTAATAACCGTTCGTACACACTCTCGCGAATGTTCCTTAACAATGAATTAGTTTCTTAAAAGCTTCTCCCTACAGACCTTTCTCAGAGAGGTGTATGGAATTTTACCTTTCGTGATTCTGAAGCAGACTTCGCTAATGTTGCTGTCTGGGGGTCACCTACGTACATTGGAAACTGTGCTGAACAATTTCACATTGGAGATGTTGGTGAGATTTTAATGCTTTATGGATGTTGCATAGTAATTGCTTCTTTATAGCGTCCAGTGCGTCG